CTGTGTGTCTGAGTGGATCGCAACGTGATTTTGCGAACCCCACTCCACCACGTTTACCTTAATTTTTGTACAAGATATGTGGCTTCCGTCGCCGGCGCATTTTTGTTTGCTAGAGTACCCCTAAGCCAGGGCAAAAGTCCCGGTGGCAGCCACCAGCTTCTTGTACAGGTGTGGGACTCGAACCCTGCCCAGTGGATTGGTAGAGTCATCCCAAACCACTGCACCGTTCTGACCCTGCCATTTTTGCACAATAATTGCAATACTTATTATTGTTTTTGTCGATTCGGAATTATGTTTCTTTTAGAAATCCAATCCAATATTTTATTTTCCGAGCCCTGATCTGTACTTCTCAATAAACGAAGAAGGTAACGCGTCTGATGCGTGAATAGGAAGATGTTAAAATTTGTGACGTCGATACCAAGACAGTCCACCAGCAGATATGGGTTTTGCGTATGAACGTTTTCGACCTCCTATATTTTATGATTGAAAACCATATCAACTATAAGAGGCACCACTTATTGATTGACTTTCATCTACTCTGCGTCTTGATCGGCCCCCTCATGGAACCCCAACACAGATGTGAAGTCCCAGAGCTCCCAATTGGCACGTAGGAACACCAGCATCTCGAAGTTAGCCGCTTGACGGCCACTGCTTTACCCTCTGTTGCTTTTTACCTAGGGTAACAGCTCAATATAATTATTACGGACACAATTGCATATTTTACCGAAATCCTAATTTACCAATACTCCATAATTCCGTCAATACAATAGCACAATTATTATATTATAATAATTTTTCCGAGCCCTGGTACAGAAGTGTGATGAATTCCGCCTCTCACTTTAAACTGAAAAAAGGATTTGGTCGAGTACGTTGCATCGAAATATTAAAGAGAGAAATATATTTACCTTGTTTCATTCTTTCGTCAGCGTTTGTTTCTTCATCTGCTCTAATACTTTTTTTTTTTGCTTCAGTAAGAGATACTCTATGCCAAACTCTGAGAGCCCTTCTGTCGTTGCGCACATCATTGACATTTCAGCTTGTTCTTTCAACGACCTCTCTTGATTTTCCATCAGCTCCACCTTTCTTTTCGCTATCTGGAGCTGCTCTTTTAGGATTTGCACTTATGCCGTTGTTGCTGCGAACAATTCGCGTTGCGAGTGCATTATAGCTTTGTCGACTTGCCCTTCTAAGTGAAGCTGCTTCGCTTTCTTTTTCTCTGCGGACGCAGGACGTGCAAAAGACTGACTACCAGCAGGAGGCTGAAAGACATCAGCAGGAAGAGCAGGATCGTCATCACCAGTGATTAGTCAAACTCCGCCGTGTCACTACAGGTATTCACATCTACAAGTAAAATAAATAAATAGTGACAAAAACTAAAATGATAAAACATAGTGCACCTCCAGCTCCCCGCTTGTGCACCTCTGCTTCATTTTCTAGGCGAGCCCATTTACGAAGGCGTGGAATGTCGCGCATAAAGCGCGCACATCCTTTGAGAAAATTGTAACAATGGTGCAGCCGAAAAGCTTCAGCTCGAAGGCGCGGCTTTTGTTTACTTTTGGCACGACCAGACTTCACATCTTCCCCATGTTCACGTAATGCATTAGCACTTAACTGTTCTCGCTTTGCTGTAAAGTGATTGTGTTACAGAAGAAGC